CTGGATGGAGCTCCTGACTTCTGCCAGTCCGGGCTGTTGCAGCCATCTGGGGAGTGAACCATCAGATGGAAGATCTGTCTCTCCCCCTCCCCTATGACTTTTTTTTTTTTAATTTATTTATTTGACATGTAGAGTTATAGACAGAGAAAGAGAGACAGAGAAAGGTCTTCTCTCTGTTGGTTCACTCCCCTAATGGCCGCTACGGCCGGCGCTGTGCCGATCCAAAGCCAGGAGCCAGATGCTTCCTCCTGGTCTCCCATGCGGGTGCAGGGCCCAAGCACTTGGGCCATCCTCCACTGCCTTCCCGGGCCACAGCAGAGAGCTGGATTGGAAGAGGAGCAATGGGGACTAGAACCCCGTGCCCATATGGGATGCAGGTGCTGCAGGCAGAGGATTAACCAAGTGAGCCACGGCGCCGGCTCCCCTATGACTTTCAAATAAATTTAAAATATTTTTTTTAAAAAGGGAATTTTGGGGAGCTGGGTTCTGGGAGCAGGGCTCTGCGCTCTGAAGGGCTCCTGGCTCGGTGACCAGCTCTGCTGTCGCTGTCCGGAGAGGCTTCATTTTTGAACAAGGGGCCCTGCAGTCTCATTTTGCAATGGTCTCTGTGTGTGATGGATCCTGTCCGTGACATGCATTTTAAATCCGGAGCCTCTGGTTCTCCATGGTTGCTCCGCAGTTGGGCCAGGGCGGTATCTCCTGGCTGAGTTTGCCGGTCCCCTTGGATTATGGTGATTTCTCCTCTGAGCGCCTGGCAGGGTAGCAACCCCTGCCTTCCACGTGAACTCATTGATCTTCCACAGAATGCGCTGCCGTGAATGCTCGAAGCTGGGATGCCCCGGAGAAGGTGGCTGAGCACTTGGGGTTATAAGTTAGAGCATCCTCAAGGTCATGTCTGCCTTGGGCAGGCTATGCTGAGCACCGTGTACAGAGTCTGCTCTGGGAGGAACAGAGTTGGTGTGGGACACTGGGCCATCTGCGAGGACATGAGCCTATAGATCTGGGTAGCACCCTGTGCTGGCAGTGACCCAGGAGCTGGACCCATATCCTCAAGTCAGCTCAGCAGCCACAGCTCCATGGCTGCTTCTTTCCCGTCTGCAAGGAGACCCAGAGGGATGACGACTCCCAGGGCTGTCAGCAGGACCTGGGGAGCCAGGTGTGTGTGTGTGTGTGTGTGTGTGTGTGTGTGTCTCCACATGTGCTCTCAAATATAAGGGAGAACATGCAGTATTTGTCTTTGCATGTCTGACTTATTTCACTCAACATGATGTCCTCCGGTTCCATCCATTTTGCTGCAAATGGTAGAGTTCCTATTTGGGGACGAATAGTATTCCATTGTGTATAGATACTGCATTTTCTTTATCCATTCATCTGGTAATGGACACCTTCTTTGATTCCATATTTGGGATGTTGAGAACAGTGCTGCTGTGAGTATGGTATTGATGTAATGAGTTCATGTCTTTTGGGTGTATTCCCAGTAGTGGGATTGCTGGATCATTTGACAGTTACATTTCTAGCTTATTAGAAAGTCTCCATACTGTTTCTCACAGTGGCTGCACTAATTCGTATTCCCACCAACAGCATGTCAGAGTTCCCTGTTTCTCTTTCTGCACATCTCCATATCCTCGCCTGCAGTGCTGCTTTCTGTCTTTCGGATAATAGCCATTCTGCCAGGGTGCGGTGAATCTCCTTGTGGCTTTGCCTTGCATTTCCCTGATGGCTGGTGATCCCGAGCATTTTGTCATGTGTTTGTTGGGCATCGGTGTCTCATCTTTTGAGGACTGTCCATTCAGGTCCTTTGCCCATTTCTTAACTGAATTGGCTGGTTTTGTTGTTGAGTTGCTGATAGGGCCTGGATATTAACCCTTTGTGGGAAAGGAAGCCCGCACGTGTTCTCTCCTCTGCTGTCAGATGTCTCTTCACTCTGCTGATTGTTTCCTTTGCTGTGCGGAGCTGCTAAGTCTGATGGGATCCCAAGGAAAGCAGACATTTCTGAAATCGGAATTTTGCCACATGGTTATTGAATCTTGACTTCTAGAAGTAGTTATTATTTTGGGCAAACATGTATTCTTCAATTAGATGAAGAATTAAAATACTTTTTGGAATGACATAAAATAGTCTTCTGTAATACAAATTTTGAGAAAGAATTTATGTTCCTAAATTTCTACAGTTTGTAATATTTCTAGTGTAAAAACAGAATCAAAGATATAGAAAAAAAATCTCCTAAAAGTTATCTGATACCAAAATGAAAAAGTATCCAGAAAAAAAAAAAAAACCCACAAGCCTATAATCTTTGTATTGTCCCATTATAGAAGGGGAGGAGAAAGCAATCAGGGAGAAGCCATGATTAATTTAACAGTTTGGAGCTACAGAAGTGGTATTTAGGCATGAATAATACAGACGGCCTGTTGGTGTGGTTTACAATTCACAGTAAGAAACACGGATCCGAATAAGCCTTCACTGATTCCTTCTGTTATAACAAAGCTTTGCCTCGTGTTAGGTGTTTTCCAGATCAGTCATCTCTACAGTCCTTACTTCCCAACCCTTTGAAATAGACCAAGTAAAAGTTTAAAAAAATTCATTGGAATCAGGTTTTTATAAAATGGTTTGTTTTTCCTGACCAACTTTCTATGACAGGATAAAAAATTGACCCCTGGTCAATTTTAAGAGTGACTAGTGTATAAAAGTAAGTTCGGAGACAGAAAACTAATTTCCCAAGAGCATGCTTTACCTTGCTATCAGAATAAGTCTTCCTCGGCTGATGGAAGCCAGGGATCAACAATACCAGATTTGCTGGAAAATCCTTGGGGCAACAATATATTTTTAAAAATGGGTGAATTCCTCTCATCTTAAACTCTGGTGGAAGGTTGGCTAGCTGTATATTAAGTGATGTTTACTGTATAATTTTTAAAAGGTTTTTGTTAACTACTTTTTTAAAAAAAAGATTTGTTTACTTATCTGGAAGTCACAGAGAGAGAAAGAGACTTCCATCCAGTGGTTCACTCCCCAGATGGACCAGGGTGAAGCAGGGAGCAGGAACTTCGTCTGGGTCTCCAGTGTGGGTGGCAGGGGCCCAAGCCTGTGGGAGGTCTTTTTGCAGGACTTCAGCAGGGAGAAGGTTCAAGAGGGAAGCAGCCGGGGCGTGAACGGGCGCCCATGTGGGATGCCGGCCCTGCAGGTGGTGACTTTACTCCCTAGTTAACTATTTCTGCTACCATCTGTCTCACCCTATGAAACATTGGGCAGAGACTCAGTCCCGTAGCTGGTGATATCCAGTATATTAGAAAAGTCTGGGAATAAATTGTCTTCGTAAACTGTCTATCCTGACGCCCAACTGAAAGTCCAGTCAGTGGCTGACGTAACCTGATCGGCTGATGGTGCGCTGCCCATCTTCTGTCGGCTCCCTCGGGTTCAGACTGAGTCTGGTGACTCAAAAATGGCAGGTGGAAACCACTTACCAAGAAGGCTCCATTGCCCACCTCCACCTGGAAATCATTCCAGGAACCTCTGAGGGGTTTGAGAGCTAACGGAACGGAAGGCAAAGAACCGATGTATAGGTATATGCTATTAGGAGTCTTCGCAGCAGCTCAGATCATTGGAACAGCTTTGAACTGAAGCTGTGAAGTTCGTTCCTTCCTTCAGTTCACCGCTCCTTTGGATTTCCTCTGGCAACATCCTGTGTCATTCATTACTGTCATTTACCTTTCGCATAAACCCTACTATGTGGATCCCTTTTCTAAAACCCTTATTCCTCTCCAACCCCGGGGTTTTCCCACTTCATTCTTGGCCTGCCCTTGATGGCATTCCTAATCTTCTCTGGGGTCACCTGCTGAGTCCATCCTTAGCCTCCCCCTGGGTACACTAGACCCCCGGCTTCTGTCCATTACTAAGACTCACCCCTGTGATGATGGACAAGGAGGACGGCTGGGCTTGGAGCTCAGGCCCCTGAGGTCACATCTCAGTCCTGGCACTCCCTGCACAGTTAAATCACTTTCACCTCTGAGGCTCATGTGCTCCATCTGTGCACTGCTAGACGAGAATGCTAAAGGCAGCTTGAAGTGCGAGGTGGTGTTTTGATAAGTCTCTAAGATTCTCTCAAATCCTGAATTCTGCGTACTTTTGATTCTGTCTCTAGAAAAATGGGAATACTTAGCTGGAAGAAATGGGGGGAAATAGCAGAACAAAACAGGAAAAGCAAAAAAGAATGTAAAAAAAAAATCAGGAAGATACCTGGGAATTTCATGAGATGTTGCTGAATGTGGAAGTAGAAGTTTGGGTTCTTGTTGTACCACTCCTGACTGTGCAAGCCTGGGCAATCTTCTCCACACCTCTGACGTATCCCTTCCTTGTGAAAGCTCCCTGTAATGGGACCAGCTGCTCACCACACAGACACCCTGAGAGTTACAGGAGCTGATGCAGCAAGAGCACATTTGAGATAAAAGGATGTGTTGGCCATTTAGTCCCTGGACACAAACCTATTGGAAGCAGGAAAAAGTACTAGTTGTCTGTAGGGTGGAAGAGCAGAAGCCATTTGTAATTCAATACTGAGGTGCAGGAGTGGGTGTTTGGCACAGTAGTTAAGGTGCCTCTTGGGATGCCCGCGTCCTGTATCCGAGTAGCTGGGTTCAGTTCCAGGAGGCAGCAGGTGATGGCTCAGGTACACTGGTCTTGGCCACACACGTAGGAGATCTGGCTGAGTTGCTGGCTTCAGCCTGGCTGTTGTGGGCATTTGAGGGGTGAACTAGCAGATGGGAGATCTCTGTCTGCCTCTCTCTTTCAAGTAAATAAATAAACAATGCAAAACCGAGATGGAGATAATTCAGCCTACTTTTGAATATTAATAATTTAAGAGAGTCCTGGGGTGTGCCACAAAACACAGATGGGCACCGACTCGGTTCAAAGGGTCCCTCTTCCCCAACACACACACACTGCTTTTCTGCGATTCTCGTTACTACAGCCGGATTGTGCTTTTGGGTTTTTGTTTCCTTTTCCTCACACAGGGGACTCAGACCCTGCTCCCGTGAATCCTTGCTATGATGGAAGCCACACGTGTGACATGACAGCACGGTGCCATCCAGGGCCAGGGACGCACTACACCTGTGAGTGTACGCCTGGGTACCAGGGAGACGGACGGAGTTGTGTGGGTAAGAGCCATGTTCCGTTTCTTGCCTGTTGCCCTTGTGTTCACTTGGCCATGGCCGCGTTGTATCTGTTGTCCTGGTAACTCTACCAATCCGCAATGTTAGCAGCTGCAGTCTAAATACAGTTATGGAAAATTAAAAGCGTAGTCTGATTAGGTTTGAGAGGATGGTGTGGAACCGCAGATATGGGGCTGGAACTGCGAAAACATTTATTGCAATTCTTGGATGTTTTAAGTTTTATTGTTTTGAGTCACTATATCCAAAAAGCAAGGGTGGGAATGTGGGGAGCAACTGGGAGCAACTCGGACTAGACTAAGTTACTGGAATTAAGACTTATTCTATGCATCTGCTTTCCCACAATATGGTGCTGGGAGAGGAGCAAACAGCTTCTACACAGCTGCCTCCAGTTCAACCAATAAACTGTAGGACCTGCTCCTGATTGGAGGAGAGCAGCGTACTCGGCATGTGGGTAGCAGAGTTGGGATTGGCGGAAGAGGACTATAAAGGAGGAGAGAGACAACATGCACCAGGAACATCTGAGGGAACACCTGTGCAGCCCCCGAGAGAGCCGGCCGGCGGTGTGCCGCTCCCCCGCGGAAGTGGGGAAAGTGGCAGGGGGAACCACCCTTCCACGGAGGTGGAAGGGACGGTAGCCAACCCGGGAAGAACCAGCAGCAAACCCGGGAAGGGCCGAGCAGACAAAAGAACAGCGCAGGGTCCTGTGTCGTTCCTCCACGAAGAGGGGGAGCGACATGGGAATATCTTTATGTATAAATTGTTAGCATGTTTTTCTTGTGAATACCTCTTATTTCTAAAATGTTTAAAGAATCCTTAAAACATTCATTCAAAACCAATCTCCCCGAGGCCCATCCTTGAGTGACTTGGAATACATTTGTGTTATTTCTGATGATTGGCAGTGTGCATTTGTGTGGGTGCTAAAAATCTTGCGTTTCGACTCCTGCGGTCCACCAAGCATCTGGCCCACTGAAGCACGGTGGGGGTGACGTAACCGAGTCTTCATACCTTCCGCCTCGGGGCCTTGAAGAAACAGCACTTTTCTGTTCTCAATTCTTTCCAGATGTAAATGAGTGTGCAACTGGCTTCCATCGCTGTGGCCCCAACTCTATGTGCGTCAACTTGCCCGGGAGCTACAGGTGTGAGTGCAGGAGTGGTTACACCTTTGCTGATGACCAGCACACGTGCATCTGTGAGTACCAAACTCAGTGCTCTCTCCGGACAAAATGGTGCTGAATTGTGCTCTGCAGTTCATCGGTGTTTTCAATTCTGCTGGCCAGAAGCTCTCCTACTTCTCTGTTTTGTTTTTAATATTTATTTATTTATTTGAAAGTCACAGTTACACAGAGAAGGAGAGGCAGGGAGACAGAGGTCTTCTATCCACTGGTTCACTCCCCAGTTGGCTGCAACAGCTGGAGCTGCACTGATCTGAAGCCAGGAGCCAGGAGCTTCTTCTGGGTCTCCCATGCAGGTGCAGGGACCCAAGGACTTGGGCCATCTTCTACTGCTTTCCCAGGCCATACCAGAGATCTGGATCAAAACGAGCAGCCAGGACTTGAACTGGTGCCCATATGGGGTGCTGGCCCCAGTTTTTTGTTTTTTGTTTTTTTTTTATTATTATTAAATTAAATTTGGGAGGCAGAAAGATGGTGAAAGATCACCCATCCACTAGTTCATACCCCAAATGCCTGCCACAGCTGGAGCTGGGCCAGGACAAAGCCTGAGGACCTAGGTCTCCATCCGGGTCTCCCATGGGGGTGTCAGAGACCCAAATACTGAGTCATGATTGCTGATGTGGAATGTGTGTGTGTGTGCATGCGTGTGTGTGTGTGTGTGTGTGTGTAAATTGCTTGGAGCATTGTAAGCTTCAATCAAAGATGGCTTGGAACTGATTTTCATGCCTATTTTTAAAAATTTAGGGCTGGGCCGGTGCCGTGGCTCAATAGGCTAATCCTCCACCTAGCGGCGCCAGCACACCGGGTTCTAGTCCCGGTCGGGGCGTGGATTCTATCTCGGTTGCCCCTCTTCCAGTCTAGTTCTCTGCTGTGGCCAGGGAGTGCAGTGGAGGATGGCCCAAGTGCTTGGGCCCTGCACCCCATGGGAGACCAGGAGAAGCACCTGGCTCCTGCCTTCGGATCAGCGTGGTGCGCTGGCCATAGCGCGCCAGCCGCGGCGGCCATTGGAGGGTGAACCAACGGCAAAGGAAGACCTTTCTCTCTGTCTGTCTCTCTCACTGTCCACTCTGCCTGTCAAAAAAAAAAAATTTAGGGCCGGTGCCGTGGTGTAGTGGGTAAAGCCACTGCATGCAGTGCCAGCACCCCATATGGATGCCAGTTGAGTCCCGGCTGCCCCACTCCCAATCCAGCTCTCTGCTATGACCTGGGAAAGCAGCATATGGCCCAAGTGCTTGGGCTCCTGCACCTGCACCCAGTGGGAGACCTGGAAGAAGCTCCAGGCTTTGGATTGGTTCAGTTCCTGCCATTGTGGCCATTTGGGGAGTGAACCAGCACATGGAAGACTTCTCTCTTTCTCTCCCTCTCTCTCTCTCCCCTCCCTCCCTCCCTCCCTCACCTCTGCCTCTGCGTCACTCTGCCTTTCAAATAAATAAATCTTTTAAGAAATCAATGACAGAGAGAGATATCTTCCATCTACTGATTCACTGACCAAATTGCCTCAATGACTGGGGCTGGGGCAGGCTGAAGCCAGGAGCCTGGACCTCCATCTGGTTCGCCCACACGGGTGGCAGAGCTCCAAGTACTTAGTCACCTTCCACTGCTTTCTTGGGTTTACTAGCAGAGAGCTGGATCAGAAGTGGAGCAACCAGGACTTGAACCGGCACCCATATGGGATGCTGGCATCCCAGGCCATGGCTTAATCCACTGTGCTACAATGTTGGCCCCCTCATGCCTAATGATTTAGCCACAAAATCAGTCATATAAGCACTTCTCAAACTTTAACATGCGTATGGACCAGCTAGGAAGTTTGTTAAAATTCAGATTCTGATGCCCCTGGGTAGGGCCTAGGGTACAGCCCCAGGTGCACCAGTGCTGTTGGCCTGTGGTGGTGCCGTGAGGAGCAAGGCTCACCCCTTGCCAGGCCTGACCGCATGGACACCTTTGCCTTCTTCTATTTTCAGTGATGGCCCCTCCTCCCAACCCCTGTGAGAATGGCACCCACACCTGTGCACCTGCTGAGCAGGCCCGGTGCATCCCCCACGGAGACGGCACCTTCAGCTGCGCCTGCCTGCCCGGGTATGCCGGCGATGGGCACCAGTGTTCCGGTGAGTACCTGCAGGTCGGCTCAGCGTCTCGAGCATCCCCTGGGACGCACAGCCCCGTGACTCTCTCCCACCCTTTGACTCAAAGAGCCTGCAGTTGGTAAGGATGACAGAGAGAGAGGTGTCCTTTGGGTAGAAGTTGGGCCTAGAGTGACTTGGCCCTGGACTGCACTGGGGAGCTTATCTGGTCGTTGTTGGAGAAGGCTTCCTTGGGATGTTGGGAGTGGCCGCCGGGGAAGCGGGCACAGCCACGGCGCTCCTGTTGAGAATCCCCCACCCTGCAGCCGCTGTGGCCTATGGCTCAGTTCCAGATTGGCAGTTGTGCTGTTCTTCCGGTTAAGCATCCTCTAAACTCACATCCAGTTCTTTCCCAAGAACTCTCCAGAAATAACTCTCCAGGATATTAATGCGCACCCAATTTGCAAGACTTTTCTCCCAGAACTCAATCTTTAAGACTTCACACAATATTTTATAAAAGTGTTAAACCAGAATGCATAGCTAACCATTCAGGTTTATTTATTTATTTACTTGAAAGTCATAGTTACACAGAGAGAGAGAGAGACGTCTTCCATCCACGGGTTCACTCCCCAGTTGGGCACAATGGCTAGAGCCATGCTGATCCAAAGGCAGGAGCCAGGAGCTTCCTTGGAGTCTCCCACACAAGTGCAGGGACCCAATACTGCCTTCCCAGGCCATAACAGAGAGCTGGATGGGAAGTGGAGCAGCCGGAACTTGAACCAGCGTCCACATGGGATGCCGGCACTGCAGGTGGCCGCCCCACCCGCTACGCCACAGTGCGGGTACCATTCAGGTTTACCGCAGTCGGAAGTAATGTGGGAGGTTGTTAAAGACTTAGGGAAACCTCTGGCTATAGATGTTGATGCAGCTAGCTTACTGTGTACTGCAGAGGTTGTTCAGGAAATCTAACAAAACCACGGAAGGTACCCTGACCCTACCTGGTGATACGCGATCAGACTGAAGCTCAGCTTCATGTGGGTAACACACACGCAGGCTCGCAGTTCAGATAGGAGGAAGCTCTGGGGCTGAGAGAATGGTGAGAAGAACCTGGGGCGTGGAGAAGGGCCCGAGGGCACGTGCAGGGGTGTAAACCTAGAAGACAGGCGTGGCCCTGCTCCCTGAATCGCTACTGCACTCAGCTTCCAGCCGTCTTGAACTCCCGGGTGCTTCCCAGGGTGCAACCAGCGCAGGTGCCCCACCGCCTCAGCAGGTGTGTGCTTCAGTCCTGCTCCTGTGCGCCCCCCACCCCCATGGTCTCCATGGGATCGGGTGACTGGACCAGCAGGCTCAGGCCATCGTCATCGTTATGGACAGCATGATGTGAGGGGTAGCCCAGCCCTCTGCCCCCCTCCAGATGTGGCAGGCTGTTAGGCATTGTTTGAGCCATGTTCTTTCATTACTGTTTCCGGTGTCCAGAAGCTCTGTTGTATGGAAGTCTTGTCCTGGGTTCCTGGTGAGTGGAGGCGAGTCGGTGCCAGGCCGCTTGGGTTCAACAGCAAATAGAAGGGGGCAGGCATCTGGCCTGGTGGGTAAGACTCTTGGTCTCACATTGGAGTACCTGGGTTTGAGTCCTGGCCCCAGCTCCTCAGCTTCCTGTTAACTCATCCCCAGGGAGGTAGCATCAGGAGGTAGGTAGGTCCCTACCACCTGTGTGGGAGACCTGGTTTGAGTTCCTGACTCCTGGCTTTGGCCTGACCCGACCCTGGCTCTTGTGAGCATTTGGGGAGTGAACCAGCCAATAGAACTCTCTTCCTGTCTGTCTTTCAAATACATTTCGTTAAAGCAATTTATTTGAATAAAAGAAGCGGATGATAAGGGGCGTGGAGTCCCGTGGTTGGACTGTTAACACAGAATTCCGGCCAGTTTTCAGGATCCAGACTGTGAGAAGGATGTTGCAACAGTAAAGCATGAACTCAAATGGAGGGTTTTCATCCCAATTTTTAAAAAGATTTATTTATTTGAAAGGCTGAGTTACAGAGAGAGCTAGAGACAGAGAGAAGGAGATCTTCCCTTCACTGGTTCACTCCTCAAATGTCTGCAACGGCTGGAGCTGGGCTGATCTGAAGCTAGGAGATTTCTTCCTGGTCTCCCAGGTGGGCACCGGGATCAATGCACTTGGGCCATCCTCCACTGCTTTTCCAGGCCATCAGCAGGGAGCTGGATCAGAAGTGGAGCAGCCGGGGCTCGAACCCAGCACCCATAGGGGATGCCAGTGCCCCAGGTGTAGGCTTAACCCAGTGCACCACCATGCCGGCCCTTCCACGAACTTTTTGAAGACCCCAAGGCTGCATGGGTGGCAGATGATAGTGTGGAGAGCTGTGCTGGGCCTGCACCACCTCCCTTTACCTGGGTGATAAAGGGGCTCTTTGGACACTGAGCACTGTTCCCGAGACCTCCGGCTTCTCTCTGTCTCCAAAGGAATTGGTGCTCCCTGTTCATCCCCAGGCGCCGGCTCCCGCAGACCCCACCGTGGGCACTCCCCAGGAGACGGGGCTGTCATCTGCTGTGGACGGAGGCCCTGCGAGAAGGGAGCCTCGGCCTTCTCTGGCTTTCTGGAGACGCGGATTCCTCCCTTGTGCCGCCTCCCATGTCTTGTGGGGTTTCTCCTGCGCCTTGGTCATTGGTGACTGTCGCTGTCCACCTGTGACTTGAAAATCGCAGATGATGGGCCGGCGCCGCAGCACACTAGGCTAATCCTCCGCCTTGTGGCGCCGGCACACCGGGTTCCAGTCCCGGTCGGGGCGCCGGAATCTGTCCCGGTTGCCCCTCTTCCAGGCCAGCTCTCTGCTGTGGCCAGGGAGTGCAGTGGAGGATGGCCCAAGTGCTAGGGCCCTGCACCCCATGGGAGACCAGGAGAAGCACCTGGCTCTTGCCATCGGATCAGCGCAGTGCGCTGGCCGCAGCACACCGGCCGCGGCAGCCATTGGAGGGTGAACCAAAGGAAGACCTTTCTCTCTGTCTCTCTCTCTCACTGTCCACTCTGCCTGTCAAAAAAAGAAAAAAAAAAAGAAAAGAAAATCGCAGATGATGGCACAACAATGGGAAAAGGAAGTCTGACTTCTCAGATGTGTCCAAAATTCCCAGGTCACAGGCTGCAGCGAGTGAGATGGTAGCTTTGGGGAATCCCCTCCGTGTGACTTCACAGATAACCTCAAGAGACTGCCCACGGGGTCCAGAAAGAGCTCCGGTGTCAGGAATTCCTGCCTCCTGTCATCGCGTGGGGCTCCTGTTGGCGCTGCTATTCTCAGCCCGTGTATTGTCGGTAGCTGGAGCTTCCTGCCCTGGGCTGCGTGTTCACGTTTGCAGCCTTGGCTCGCAGCCAGCATTACAACCTCCTGTAGTCCTGTGGCACTGGATGGCTGCCTGCTTTGTCCAGCTGGCTGTCTGACCTCAAGGGCAAATTTTTTTTTTTTTTTTTTTTTGAGTACCTGAGAGGCTAGCCACGACTCTTGGCTTTTGGTCTCACAGGGGAACTTCGAGCCACCTTCCATCCTTTGTAGGTGCAGTGAAGGTCAGCAGGGAGCTGGCAGCTTACCCGGCACAACCTTTCTGGGTGCACTTGGACTTGGTTGCCTTTTTTTTTTTTTTTTTTTTTTTCTGACTCAGAAGACATGATGTATAGAGACCCTTCAAAAGGTCATGGAAAATGGAATTTAAGGTTAGCGTGGTTTTGGTGCAGTTTTTTAAAAATCCGCGTTTGTTTTCATCATGGGCATTTTCCATGAGCTTTTGGGAGACTGCGTTTGTTGACTCAACCCTGCAGAGGGATTTGCTAATTGTAGCCTGTAGCTAATTGAGATTCCTGCCTAACGAGCAGCACACGGATGTTTAATGCCTAGCTCGTCTGCCTGGTGGTTGGTAGTGAGAAGGGGGCTCGGTGAGGGTCTGGCATGAATGGTAGATGGGGAAAATCCCCGAAGAGTTGGCCTGAGCCATGGGAGGCTTCATGCGGAGCCACCCCTGTTCTCAGCCCATTCACATCAAACTTGGGCTAGATCCCCAGGCTAATGTCTGCCGCAGGCTGCGCCATGTGGGTGCAGTTCATTCCTGTTTCCCAGGGTTCTCTCTGAGCATCCAACCCCCAGGTTTCCTCCATTCACCTTTTTTTTTTTTTTTTTTTTTTTGACAGGAGGCAGAGTGGACAGGGAGAGAAGAGACAAAGAGAAAGGTCTTCCTTTGCCGTTGGTTCACCCTCCAATGGCCGCCACGGCTGGCGCGCTGCAGCCGGCGCACCGCGCTGATCCGAAGGCAGGAGCCAGGTGCTTCTCCTGGTCTCCCATGGGGTGCAGGGCCCAAGTACTTGGGCCATCCTCCACTGCACTCCCTGGCCACAGCAGAGAGCTGGCCTAGAAGAGGGGCAACTGGGACAGAATCTGGCGCCCCGACCAGGACTAGAACCTGGTGTGCCAGCGCCGCAGGCAGAGGATTAGCCTAGTGAGCCGTGGCGCTGGCCCATTCACGGGTTTTAAGAATACTACTACTTTTTTGCTTTTCAAAGATTTACTTATTTATTTGAAAGGCAGAGTTAAATTTTTCCATCTGCTGGTTCCTTCTGCAGATGGAGAAAATGGCCAGACCTGGGCTGATCCGAAGCCAGCAGCTTCTTTCAGGTCTCCCACGTGATGCAGGGGCCCAAGCACTTGGCCATCCTCCACTGATTTTTCCCAGGTGCATTAGCAGGGAGCTGGATTGGAAGTGGAGCAGCCGGGACTTGAACCAGTGCCCATATGGGATGCTGGTGCTGCAGAAGGCAGCTTTATGCCACCGTGCCAGCCCCAGGAATAACTTCTGGTCACGCTCATGGATGTGGCTTCTGCTCTGTTTCATTTTCAGCCCAGCCTTGGTCAGACCTCCACCCTGTCTTTGTCTTCCTGTTGCTCTGGGACACTGCCTGTCAGGAACCGCTCTCATCTGTGTGTTAACTATAACCATTCACCTGTGAGGTTTTGGGCCCTGGGGTGCATGACCTGCTGTTGGCCTGTGTGCTGGGTTTAGTAAACCTAACGAAAGGACTATAATGTCGCTCCCCAATTTGCGGAGGAACGACACCAGACCCTGCGCTGTTCTTTTTGCCCGGCCCTTCCCTGGTTTGCTGCCGGCCCCCCCGCCTCTGCGGAGGGGCAGCACCCCCGCCACTCTCCCCGCTTCCAAGGAGGAGCAGCACACCGCCGGCCGGCTCGCTCAGGGGTTGCTCAGGGGTTGCTCAGATGTTCCTGGTGCATGTTGTCTCTCTCCTCCTTTATAGTCCTCTTCCACCAATCCCAACTCTGCTGCCCACACACCAAGCACGCTGCTCTCCTCCAATCAGGAGCAGGATCAGCTCCTGCAGCTTGTTAGTCGAACTGGTGAGGCAGCTGTGTAGAAGTTGTTTGCTGTCTCTCAGCGCCATATGGTGGGAGATCAGATGCATAGAATTAGTCTTAGTTCCAGTAATTTAGTCTCAGTTGCTCCCCACACTATAAGATAGCTTTTTTTTTTTTTTTAAAGCATCAGGGTTTTTCAGTTTGAGAAACGTGATGAAAAGATCCTCATTCCAGCGTGGAGAGGGAAGGGAGGGGCCTGGATTGTGCAGACAAGGAAGCCTCGCGACGTTCATGGGACAATGGAGTGGGAAGATGACTCCATCCTGGTGCAGAAGCCTTGGGATCTGCGCGTGGTTTTTTCATAAAACACATTTCCCATGCACTTTTTGAAATGTCGCACTGAGAGGCCTAACACACATAGATTTTCTTTTATGTCTTGCATCAAACCACTGATAACTCCCTCATTTTTTTTCCCCTCTTGTAAAAGGGGTAAGAAACTCTGGTTATGGGAGGGTTCTATGTAGCAGGACGTGCTTAGGCAGGACCGGGGGTGCTTCTGAGTTGACAAAGTGTCCGGAGCCGCATCGGGCTGCCTCGTGTCTGTCGGTGGGCACTAGGGAGCTGGCGCCAACAGCTACAGGAAGAAACTATTGTTTCATCTACTTGTCCTTATCGTGGTGTCGCTGGTAGGAGGTGAGTGTGAAGGTGACCGCTTCCTGGAATTCACTGGCCGCGAATGATGCTCTAGCAATATACGGCAGGATATGTTCAGTGTGCGACCCCACGGTTGATTTCCATGCTGACCGTTGATGGTCTCCTGCGTTAAATCACCTGTTCCCACATGTTTCCTCCTATTAAAATCACCTGTAGGTGTTGACATTTCACTGCTGATGCCCAGAGGTCTCCCGCAGTGGGCAGTTCCCTGATGATCTGTGTGTCCTGAGACCAGGAGGAAGCACGGGTTTGCGTGCTGTGAAGTCGTGCCCCTCCTCACCGGCTCCCTCCCTCTCTTCCCGCCCCCTTCCTCTGTCCCTGGCCTCTGCAGATGTGGACGAGTGCTCCGAGAACAGCTGTCACCCTGCAGCCACCTGCTATAACACCCCTGGTTCCTTCTCCTGCCACTGCCAACCTGGGTATCTTGGGGACGGATTCCAGTGCACACCTGGTGAGACTGGGGGGGCCGGAGGTGGCACATCCATGTCTAGGCTCCGTCTGTGGCCTTCCCCTGTGATGCTCTGCCCACTCTGGGCTCCTTTGCAGGTTTTCTGGGTTCTGGATTTTTCCTTGGTCCTTCTTGCCACCTCATTTCCTGGGAGCTCACTGGTTGCTAACCTTGGCCACTTGTGGACTCGTCCACCCTCCTGCCTGGTAGCGGCTCTGGTTAACTGCCCTAGCGAGTGACCTGCTTTGCCTTGATGAGGGCGATTTATGATTTACGTGAAGGATTGAAGCAAAACTTGCATTAAACAGGAGCTGCCTGCACTGGGAGCCAGGACTGAGCACAGCCTCGAGCTGGAGCTTCTCGCACATGAACTCTGGGTCTGGGAGGGGCAGCTGCAGCTCGACGTGTCGTCTCCAGGGTCTCCGGGGAAGTGGGGACAGGTGCCTCGGGTGCTTCTCATTTCACCGAGACACAGCAGGTGCCTAGGAGCCCCTGCCTCGGGCCTCGCAGGCTGAGCTGGGAGGATTGGGGAAAACCAGGTAGGTAGTGGCAGAGATAAAATGACCCGGGACTCCGCAGCCTGGCGCGCTGCAGTTTGTCTCATGTCAAGCTGTCTTCTGCTTAGGGGGAAAAAAATTAAAAAATAAAGTGTCTTGGCACAGGTGACCCGGAGGGCGGCAGGTGGCAGTGGATGGGTTGCAAGCCCGTGATTGCAGCCTCGTGTCTCCCTCTGCTCTACTGCAGACTCCAGCTCAGGGCTGAAAGCTTGCCAACAGCAGCAGCTCTACGCCCAGGCACAGCACGCGCGCCCCGGGACCCGGCTCCACATCCCCCAGTGTGACGAACAGGGCGACTTCCTGCCGCTGCAGTGTCACGGCAGCACTGGCTTCTGCTGGTGCGTGAACTCAGATGGTCACGAAGTGCCTGGCACCCGGACTCCGCCTGGCTCCACCCCACCACACTGCGGACCGCCTCCAGGTGAGCCGGGCAGGGCCAGCTCGGGCCCACAGCTCCAGAAATGAAGGCCCGTGCAGCTGGGGTGGGGGTGGATGAGCGCCCTGCTTAGGCTGTGCACACACTGGAGTGATGTGTGCACACCCATGCACACATCCGGGTATGGCGACTACAGACTTGCACATGTGGCACGTGGGATGTCCTTTCCACCTTGAGCCGTGGCCTCTTAGACCAGAGGCAGAGACTGGGTGTGTAGATCAGGCCATGGCCACTGTGCGAGCCCTCGGCAAACTGGAGCATCTGATCAGTGCTTGGTCCAGAGGGAAAACTGACTCCCTGTGGAACTGTCTCACGTAACTGGGCCATCCTGATTGCAGGAAGCAACCTGAAGGCTGTGTTAATGGCAATTGGAAAAAGAAGTACAAAGGGACTTGGAAAATATTCACGGAAAATGTGCCTTAAGAAAATGTGTATTGTGAGGTTGGTGCTATGGCTTAGTAGGTTATGGTTCGAGTCCTGGGTGCTTCCTGCTAGTGTGCCTGGGAGAGCAGTGGAGGATGGCCTGGGTCCTTGGGCCCTGCACATGTGTGAGAGACCCGGAGGAAGCTCCTGGCTCCTTGTTTCGGATCTGCCCAGCTCCCGCCATTGCAGTTGAGAGATGAACCAGCACTTGGGAGACCTCTCTTTCTCCATCTCTCTCCCCTCCCCCGCCAACTCTGCCTCTCAAATAAATAAATAGATCTTTAAAAACAAGAAGAAAATGTGTTGCACAAAACCTGTACATGTCACAAAAATTTCTGTATGTGCTGTATCTTATGAAGAAACTATGCACTGATCTCAGAATTTTTGCACCAAATTAAACTTAGCTTTTAATTCCATTTTTATGTGAATTTTTTCAAAGATTTATTTATATATTTGAGAGGCAGAGTTCAGATAGAGGGAGAGACAGAGTGGCCAGTACGGCCAGAGCTGGGCTGATCGAAAGCCAGGAGCTTCTTTCCAGTCTTCCGTGTGGGTGCAGGGGGCCCAAGCACTTGGGCCATCTTCTGCTGCTTTCCCAGGCACATTAGCAGGGAGCTGGATTGGACGTGGAGCAGCTGAGACTTGAACCAGCATCCATCTGGGGTGCCGGCACCACAGGCAGAGGCTTAACCTACTATGCCACAATGCCAGCCCCTCTGTGAATTTCTTTAAGTACCATCATATGACACCTTTGAGTGGATCCAGCTCGCTTCCCCTTGGCTGATATCCCAGTGATCTCTAGCTGTGACCAACATGCTGGGGGCGGTGGGGGTGGGGGCGGGACACCATTCCTGCCTGTGCTGCCTTTAGAATCTGTGTACTGTCTAGCCATGTGATCTGAGCCGTAGCTGCTGCGCATGGCCTTGCTATCGTCCGGACCCCCTGTTCACGTGGGCCGTGGTTGTCAGGTGGGTGGAGTAGATGCTGAGAGCAGGCAACCAGGCAGCTTTCTGCCACTTGCTGAGTTCTCAGAGACGGGCAGGACTGTTTGTATGATTGTTACAGGAGAGCTGCAGTATGAATGCAGGACTGGTTTGCTGCCGTTTTCCTCCGAGTCACTGTGAGGTCTGGGAGCTCGCCATTCACGGGCCCATTTTACCCCTGAGAAGGCTTTCGTAAACATGGTGATGCCTCACTTGGTGACGGGGCCAAATTCTGAGAAATGCACCATCAGGCAGTTTCATCTTCATGCCACATGGCGGAGTGCCCGTATGCAGACCCAGGAGGCATAGGTCAGTCGCTCAACATGTTCTCTTGTTCAGCCAAGAGACACAGTAAGGGACTGGCATTGTGGCATAGCTGGTAAGGCCACCGCCTGTGACACTGGCATCCCATATGGGTGCTGGTTCTAGTCCCAGCTGCTGCTCTTCAGATCCAGCTCTCTGCTGTGGCCTTGAAAGCAGTGGGCCCCTGAACCCACATGGGAGACCTGGATGAAGCTCCTGGCTCCTGGCTTCAGCCTGGCCCAGCCCTGGCTGTTGTGGCAATCTGGGGAGTGAACCAGCAGATGGACAAGCTCTGTGTGTCTCCCTCTCTCTGCAACTCTGCCTTTCAAGTAAATAAATCTTAAGAAAAGAAAGACACAGTAAACTTAGGCTCTGTGAGGCTGCCTGTGTCACACAGCGCATTGTTCCTACAGTGTAAGTCAGAGGAGAACACTGTAAAACAGGTGGGGACATCCAACCTGCAAAGTCATTTGGTCTGGCTCTGCCAAGGTACCTGCAGGTGGGACTTGAAATTCAACACATCTATAGCAGGCTCATTTTTTTTTTTTTAAGATTGATTTATTTGAAAGGCAGTTACAGAGAGGCAGAGAGAGTAAGGTCTTCCATCCACTGGTTCACTCCCCAGGTGGCCGCAACAGCCAAAGCTGTGTGGGTCAGGAGATATTAGCTTCTTCCAGGTCTCCCACACGGGTACAGGGGCCCAAGGGCTTAGGCCATCTTCTGCTGCTTTCCCAGGTACATTAGCAGGGAGCTGGATCGGAAGTGGAGCAACCGGGACTCAAACTGGCACCGGCCCCAGCAGGCTCATTTTTAAGTTGATAATTTTGTATGGCCCAAGGATGGTATTAGAAATATCCATAAGAGGGGTGTGGAGGCAGGAGTTATAGGTTATCATTTTAGAGTTGTATCTGTGAAATACATGCAATCTGTTTTCTGTATATTAATAAAAATAAAAAATAGAATACTTGAAAGGCAATGAGCAAAAAAAAAAAAAAAATACACAAATATCTAAATGTCCCTTGGCAGAAGAAATGTTCCCCTCCCCTGGTCTAAAACGATGAAAAGTAAATACATAAACCAGAAGCATAGGCACTTAGTATTATTATTTAGTGTTCACACCGTGCATAATTATATGTACTATACTTAAAAATAATATAAAGAGGGAGAGGCAGATCTTCCATTCACTGGTTCATTCCCCAAATGGCTGCAATGGTGAGGGCTGGGCTGGGCTGGGCTGGGCTGAAGCCAGGAGCTTCTGGGTCTTCCACGTAGGTGCAGGGGCCCAAGCACCTGGGCCATCTTCTGCTTCTTTCCCAGGCACATTAGCAGGGAGCTGGGTCAGAAGTGGAGTAGCTGGGACTCAAACCAGTGCCTGTATGGGATACTGGCATTGTAGGTGGCAGCTCTACCCACTATGGTACAATACTGGCCACCCTGAACTATTACTGCAACTGGCAGTGCAGTGGAGTTGGTTATACCAGCATCACCACAAACACATGCGTAACGCAGTGTGCTGGGATGTTATAGTGGACATGACGTAAGTAGGTGCCTTGATATAATCTGATGGGACCACTGTCGTACATGTGCTAAGTGACTGACTGAAATGTCCTTAGGCAGCTCGTGGTTGTGCCAACCTTGGCTTTCTTTTTTTTTTTTTTTTTTTTTTTTTTGATTTATTATTTGAAAGAGTTAGAGTTGGTTCACTCCCCCAGATGGCTGCAATGGCTGCAATGGCCAGGACTAGGCCAAGCTGAAGCCAGGAGTTTCTTCGGGGTCTCCCATGTGGGTAGCAGGGACCATCTTCCGTGGCTTTTCCCAGGCCGTTAGCAGAGAGCTGGATCAGAAGAGGAGCAGCCGGGACTTGAACCGGTGCCCATATGGGAAGCCAGTGTCACAGGCAGCAGCTTTACCTGCTACACCACAGCGCCGGCCCCCTTGCCCCGACTGGGCTTTCATTGTGTGCGCGTGATGAGAACTGGAGAACCACTCATCATTTTGGTTGTTTCAGTGACCTTAGCTCTCAGGGCCAGGACTGCAGTGGGTCTAGGATTCATAAGGGGGCGACTTAACCAGGGCTTGATCCACAGCGCTGCTTGTAGTCCTGCTCCATCCCTCCTTCTAGAACGATCCTGGAGGTGCAAAAAGAGTGCTCCGTTCCACTCAGGCCTTGGTTCTAAACCCTGGCTGGGATTTGAAGAAATCGTGCTGTTAGGGGAGGAGCTTGGTTAGTTCAGGACGAGGTGGTGCTAGGATGGGGCCGTGCAGGGAGGCGCTGGGAGTCGGACACGGTGTTTGTGCAGACCTCTCGTGCCCTGACTTCTCTCTGGCTCTGCTTTGGCCTGGGCTGTCATTTCTGAGTAGTTTCATCTGTGCAATGGCATCAGCTCGAGGCGTGTGAGCACACTCTGTGGCCCAGCTGCCAGCCAGAAGCAGAGATGGCCATAGTTGGACGGAGAAGCGGCTGCAAATGGGAAGGAATGAGAAGGATGGCACGGCCGGGTGATCTGAGACGCCTGTTTCCCAGAACTTGGCTGGGCATCCACATTCCAGCGAGAGGCGCCCTGTTGGGTGGTCCCGGGAACCCAGGATGGATCCTGTGTGGTCAGAATGGGGGGTGGGGGGCGTCCAGAGCTGCTCAGGGCAGCCCCGCCTTGAGGCGGGTGGTTCCCTCTCCTGGTTCCTTGGGCCACATTTGGTTGAGGAAGTCCCAGTCCCTGCGGCTTCTCTGTGAGGCCTTAGGAAGAGCTGGGCTCTCCTCGCATCTGCTCCCTCCAAACCCGTTCCGTCTTGGAGCCGCGCCAGCCTGCTTTGAGCACTGAGGACCCACCGTCTTCCAGCCGCTCCTAGGAACTGTGGGTGCTGAAGCCCTGCCCCAGTGCTTCCACCTCTGTTCTCTGGAGTCGCTGGAGGGTTTGGAGCCAGGGGCCGCCGTGCACCACCCTTGGGTGTCAAGGGAGCATCCTGGCTGCTGGTGTGGTTTACGCTGGCTCTGGGAGGCGGGTGGAAAAGGGTGCAGGCAGACCTCGTGCAAAGACCTCGGCAGGAGCTTCAGTACGAGCCGAGGGGGCTGGGCCCAGGGAGGGGGGGTGAAGGTAGGGAACAGTGCAGAGACTGAAGGTGGAGCCCACCAGCTTGCATGAGGAGTCACGGCTGGGGGCGTCTGAGCAGTAGGCGTGCTGGTACCAGGAAGACTGCGAGAGGAGCGGGTTGAGGTTTCCGTCAGCCACAGGGGTGGTGGGCGCCAGGAGGCACTGGGCTGTGGGACTCCCCAGACCACAGGCTATGAGTTGCAGGAGTTAAGAGGAGGAAGCACTTCCTTGTCGTTGGGTCATCTCGGTTCTCCTACTGTGAACACACCGCTCATTTTTGCACCTGCCACAGAGTCTCCCTTCCGGCTGAGCCTCCCGCATTTGGGACAGCGCTCAGGGTGGCAACAGCCTGGCGGGAGACGGCTGTGTGCCCGAGGCCGGCCCGACTGCACCGCAGTGGCGAGCGGTGAGGACAGGCATGGAGAGGAGAGTGCTGGAGGGGAGGGCAGGGCCGGGCATCCTGGCCGGGAAGGCTGGGCGTGGGGCCCGGTGCTGAGGCTGTCGGGCTTCCAGAATGGGTTGTCTGGGGTCAGCTTCCAGCTGTGGGCTGGCCTCTCTGCCACCCTCAGCTCGGGGGCTGTCTGATAGGCCACTGCGGTGTGGCCCCGCCCTCTCTGCCATGCTTCCCAACATGTAAGCAGCAGTGAGGGGGGGCTGGGACGAGCGGGAAAGATGCAGCTGAGTCCAAGCCTTAGGAAGGTGACCCTGAGAGCACACAGGCCCCATGTCAGCAGGGGAACCCTGGGCCTCTCTGAGAACAGCCACCGCCCCCCCTCCCCACTGCTCATCTTACCCCCTCTTGATCTTCTCTGATGTGGGCCTTGGTGACAGATGGACCTGGCTCGAGGTGACAGGACTATCATCGTGGTGTCTTCTGATTGCCACAGATGACTTCCCTGGTTTGGCTGAGACCTTGGTGCCAGACAGGAGGGGAGGGAGGCCAGGAGGCCACAGGGTGGGGGTCTGGAGCCACTGCGTGCTGTCCTGAGCTCCCGTTCAACGGCTCTTCTTCCCACCTGCCCAGGGCCCACTCAGAGGCCACGCACTGTGTGCGAGCGCTGGAAAGAAAGCCTGCTGGAGCACTACGGGGGCACCGCGCGGGACGACCAGTACGTGCCGCAGTGCGACGACCTGGGCCGCTTCGTGCCCCTGCAGTGTCACGGGAAGAGTGACTTCTGCTGGTGTGTGGACAAAGACGGCCGAGAGGTGGCGGGCACGCGCACCCAGCCGGGCGTCACTCCCACGTGTAAGCTCTGGGGCCACCCTCACGCATGCCCAGCAGGAGCTTTCCCAGGGAGGGGGAGGGGCTCCCAGGCCCCGTGAAGTCACTGAGATGCTGGGTCAGCCCCTGACCGTTGGGACTTGGTCTGGGCTTTGTCCTTAGCAGTGTCCGTAATGCAAGCAACTGCGACTTGGGTCCCCAGGGGATGACTCCCCGCCCATGGTGATCTGCTGGTTCACAGCCCAAACGGCCTCCTTGGCCAGGGCTGGGCTAGGCCAGAGCCAGGAGCTTCTTCTGGGTCTCCCACATGGTACAGAGGCCCAAACACTTGGGCCATCGCTGCTGCTTTCCCAGGCCATTAGCAGGAGCTGGATCAGTAGTGGAGTGGCTGGGACTCGAACCTTTGTCAGTACCGCAGATGGCAGCTTAACCACACCACCAGCCTGCGGTTTTCTCTTTAAAAAAACCACCCAACCCCCACCCCCCTTCTGCTGCTGTGTTCTGTGGGCGTTGATTTGCTGACTTCCTCCAGGTCCTTGGCCGTGATTTGCATAATTGATCCTTGAAAAATACAAACCCTGGAAAGGAGCATGTCCTTTGGAGACCGTGTGGGGCACAGCGGGCTGTGTGCAGACGCTCCGCGCCCACCGTGCCGTCCACGCCCACCCCCTCACTGCCCCTTTCCCCACGCAGGTCTCCCCGAGGCTGTTCCTCCCCTGATTGGAGCCATGCCCCGGCCCGAGGACTCTCTCACAGGCAGCTTCCTGGTCTACGCCCAGGGCCAGCGCCTCGGCCGTTTGCCCTTCAAGCGCACCAAGCTTTTGAAGGACCAGGCCTCGACCCTGCTGTCAATGCATGTAAGGTGCACTTCCCCGGGGCAGGGGCGGGGCGGGCCCGGAGAACCCTCGTCTCGCGTCTCCTTCAGCTCCCCACTGGCACCCACCAGCACCCCACACCCGCCAGGCCCTGGCCTGCTGACTAGGGCGAGGGGGCGGGCAGCCTGCCTGCCAGCCTGGACCCCCGTGGGGCGGCTTTGACAAGGGATTTCCTGAGCACAGCTGCCGAGCTATTTGGGGAGCACCGAGCTGATTCATCAGCAGGAGCGAGTGTTGGCACGAAGCCCGTGCTGTTGGTGCTTGTGGCCACCTCGGCCCCGGAGTGTCAAGTTCAGAATTGGAGGCAGAGGAGTCTCCCTCGCGTGTCGGGGCACCTTGCTGGGGAACCCCTTTTCCCCACCGCAGGGCATTGGTATCTCTCCAAAGTGGGGTGCTTTGGCAGTAGGGGGGCCACGGCCCAGGAAGCAGCAGCCACTCCCGCCCCAGCACCTTGCTCCCCGGATCATCTCTGTTCCAGGGGTCAGTGGTTAGGCAAGGGGCGGGGCTGCAGCAGTGAGGCAGCCCTCGGCTGTCCCAGGAGCTCCCTGGGACAAGGCCCACCTGGCCTTTTGGCTTCTAGATTCTGGGCTGGGACTGGGGTTAACAGAATGTTTTCTCTCGTGTCAATATTCTCACAACTCTGAAAGACCCCTCCCACGTGTCTGAAGCCCCATGAGCCAGGGGCACAGGGCAGCCTCGACCAGTCAGATGCGATGCCCCGCCCCCAGAGTCCCCTTGGTCCCTGGCACAAGGCTCGTATGGACGGCCTGTGGCCCTGGAGCCCAAAGGACTTCCCTACCCACTTAGGTCCTCTTAGAGAAACTGAACTGGGACTTCCTCCCAAACCTGGCAGACATCACATGGGCTTAGGAACCCCATGACCTGGGGCTGACAGACGCCCGTGGGCACGTGTACTCCTGGCTGGGAGTGCCGTTGATATTGGGGCCCCCATCTCAGCCATCTGCTCTCCCCAGGTGGCCAAGTCCTGCCCGGTTCCGTGCGTCTCTGCTGACCTCCCTTCCCGAGGCCTGTTAAGCCTGGCCCGGGCACAGCTGCTGTGCCCCTGTGAGCAGGCGCTGCAGGACGAGGCAGACGCAGCATTTGAAGACTCATTTGTGTGGCAGGGAGGGAGGGAGGGAGGGGACCCTCACCAGCCAGAGCTGCGTGACCACCAACCCCCAGCGCCTTACCCATCCGGTCCCAGCCTTTGCTGTAGAGCGCGAGCAGCCTAATGCTTGCTGTGGCCCGACTCAGGGGCAGAACGGCGCGGCCCTCGGGCCGGGAAGCTCCCGTGCTCACAGGGAGAGCCCGCCGTGCCCGCACGTGCTGGTGAATTTGAGAGGCTCTTTCAAAACATGGACGACACTGGACAGGATTCAGGTTGTGCCCAGCCGTATGTTAATAAGGGTTTACCGTATGCTGTCCCCAGATCAAGGGCTGCTTCTCCAGAGGTGACTGTTTTTTTGCGACCAACAGTTGCACCACTTACTGAGGGGTTGAGTCTGTGCCAGTGGGTGATTAGGCTACTTCACAAGCATTTACAGTGCTCATTCTTGATGCCAACCGTGTGCAGTTGGGACTGTGGTTTACCATCACTGTAAATGAGGAAGCCAAGGCAGAGAGGTTAAACACCAAAGCCACACTGCTGGACAGTGGCGGAGCCTGGCCACTGACCCCGGGCAGGCCTCACTGCCCCATCTCTGGCAAGACCACAGGATAAGGCTGCTCACTGCAGCTCCGTGTGTCAAGCTGGAGTTGGACTGCTGATTCTCGCCATTTTGTGATTTGGTCCACGAAGGGCTCCATCATCGTGGGGCTTGACTATGACTGCCACGAGAGGAAGGTGTACTGGACGGACGTCGCCGGCCGGGTGATCAGCCGCATTGGTATGCAGCCAGGAGCAGAGCCCGAGGTCATCATCAATTCAGGTCAGCAGCTGCCTCCCGCAGACTTCGCACTTCGTTTGTGCCTAAGTCACTTGTCAGAGGAATCTCTCCTGTATTCCAGCAGGGGCGGTTACATTCCAGACTGAACGGGTGACTTACAGGTGGGGTGAGGGTTTACTCTGCTTTGCCCTAGCACTGCAGGTGCCTGGGACCACCAGGCTGGTAGGTCTGTTGTTCTATAGGAAATCATGGTAGGAAACATGACAACAGGATCTTTCCCTATTATCACGGGACTTAAGAGCCTCTCGGGCTTTGGTTTCTTCCCCCTGTTCAGACACAGCAGGCGTCTCGGCTTCAGGTTCGCCGTACTTAACTGCAGATACTCAAGTTCTGCCCTTGCTCTATTCCAGGGCTCTTGAGACCCGAAGGAGTGGCTATCGACTTTATCCACAGAACAATGTACTGGACGGACAGCGGCCTGGATCAGATAGTTAGGACCAACCTGGATGGCTCCGAGCGCGAGATCCTCTTCTACGTGGATCTGGTGAATCCCCGCGCCATCACGGTGGATCCAGTCGGCGGGTCAGCTGGGGTTCCCTCCTCTCCTCTCACCTGTAGATCCTGATGTGCAGCCCTTGGATTTAAGTACCACAGGGGGAGGGTCATAACAGGAGGGTAAAAGCTCACATCCAATAATTTAAGCCAGTTTATTCCAGGCAAAGGATAAGGTCTGTTCTTTCTCAGAGCTTAGATCCTCTCGGAAGGAAACAAGACAGTGAAGACAAGTGCTCTGTGATGGGCTAGAGAAAGAGCGTTTGTGACAAGGGCTTGGCTACTTTTGGAAGTGAAGTGGGCCTCTTGAGCAGCATGTCCAGAACCAGAGTGAAGACACAGCAGGGCTGACCACCCTTGACTGGTCGGAGTAAGGAAGCTCAGCTCTGAGCTTTGGGTTCCCCACCTTGGACAAAGTGTATCTTTTTCTATTCCAGTTGACTTAGCCTCAAGAATTAATAACCCTCAAACACCCTGAGCCAGGTTTGGATAGGACACACATAACCCAAGCTTCCTGCACTGCATAGTGGAGTGGTTACACTTTCTTAGGTATTCACTCTGTGGATTTTACCCTAACAGGTTTCTTCTTTGAACAGCTCAGTAGCAATTTACACGAGGTGTGGAGACTCTGCAGTCTTGTTCTGGGCTTGAATGACGTTATGCCTTAAGGGACAAAGCAGTGACGTGCAGGCCCTGCCCTCCTACCTCCTCAGCCTCAGCACGGAGGGGACACCCTTTCTGGCCTTGGCTCTCGGCTCTCCCGCCTTTCCCGCCTTCATAAGGGGCTCAAGTTTCCATGATCTCTTCCTCGCCTTCTCAGCTGCTCACGAGCCATTCTAAACATGTGCAGCTTTTACAAAAGTGGTTTCACACTTCCTTCTGCTTTGACCGTAAGCCTAGTTCCCTACCTAAAACCTTTTTCAAGTGAACAGGGCCGTATTATTGTTACTTTACATTTTTAACAAGGCCACTTATAAGGTGCAGCACCTCACGTAAAGGGTTTCCATCCAAGTGTGACCCAAGACTTAAACAGATCCAAGGTTTGGGGCAGGCAGGCCAGGACTGTGATGGGACTCTGAAGATAACGCCCCCTCTAGGCAGGTAAGAGTCAGAAAACCTTGTGAGGCTGGCGGAAGTCGAATATGGCTGTGGAGTAATTACCTAGTGCTGCTGAACAAACTGCCCAAAACTGTACCCTACTGGCCAGTTCACAGGCAGAGTGCAACCATAGATGAGGCACCCAGGAGAGCAACTAGATTCCTGAAACCTAATACTGAAGGTGATATTGCATAGTGTCTGCCATATGCCCCACACCCAAAGCAGGGCACTAAATCCAGCCCAAATTCAAGACTCAAGACTGAATACCAGCCGCAGGCTGCAAAGCTCTTCTTTTACAATCTTGATTTTTAAAAATTTACAGTAACTTGTACTGGACAGACTGGAACAGAGACGCCCCTAAAATTGAAAGAAGTTCTTTAGATGGAACCGGTAGAAGAATTCTGATTGGCAAAGACATTGGATTACCTAATGGCTTAAACTTTGACCCGGTCACGGAAATGCTCTGCTGGGCAGATGCAGGTAATACTAATGGCTCGGACAGATACGCCTTTGTTTTGGTATAAGCACTGTAAGATTAGATGACAAAACCAAATCCCCTCATTGTTCTTTGGACTGAAACTTACAACAGCGCAGCACATAATTAATTACTCCTTTGTTTGGTCTATAAACCTTTAAAATTTTGTAATGGTTTTCAATGAACATCCTGAGGTTTACCGTGATTCCGTACTGTTCCCTGGCCCCAGCACGAGCACCTGGTTTACCTAAGAATGACAGACTAGTCACTGGTTTTTGGCCAGTATTGTAGCTTATGCATAAGCATGTTACTTCCGTTAGCACTGTGACACTGAGAACATCTGAGAGTGATGTGGCAGGACAGCCTCCCTCAGCAACACCCAGGTTTATTTCTGTGGTGTGCTCTTCAGTGTAAGCATGAGTGAGAGTCTGTGTATCTGGTTCTACCACATGGGTCACTTTTACAACCCAGCTGTCAAATTAGCTGTTAGTGATATGTCTGTAAAAAAAAAAAAAATTATTAGCTAATGCAAAATTTTCAAGACTGAGTCCTTTAAGTTGAAACCTATGAGCCATATTGTCATTCTAGTTGCTTTTTCCCTTCCCATAAATTCTCTGAATATTTATAAGAACCCCTGGGCAAATAACAGACTGGTTACAAAGGGCAAGTTTTTATCCAGAGGATGTGTCTATAGTACTTTATAAGCTATGGCATGAAATTGCACAAATGACAAAACTTGTTGGCTCATTTCTGTACGTGCAATTCTTCCTTCAAAAAGGAACTTAAAAGTTTGAGCTTTAAAAAAACTAGAATGCTACCCAATAAATTAGTAATAGTGGGAAATTTTACAGTTGCTAACTTGCATGTGTTCCTACTCTGCCCTGGTAGCAGACTCCTCAAACAATTGATTGGAAAAGCAGCTTTTTGTGCTGCTCCATGACAGGAGCACTTCATTCTCCCCTGTTGATGTTTTAAAAGGAACCAGAAAACTGGAGTGTACACTACGTGATGGAACTGGACGGCGGGTCATTCAAAGTAACCTCAACTACCCCTTCAGCATGGTCAGCTACATCGACCACTTCTATTACACCGACTGGAGGAGGTAAGACCTCTCGCAGGCTGTACCGAGACAGCGAGTGACCCAACCAGTTACATCCCCTGCTGAGTTTCCTTTCATTGTCCACTCAATAGTAGCACTGGTCAAGAGTTAGTGCCTTTGAAATGCTTTTACTTCACCCAGAAACATAAGTAGCTCAGCTGTCTGAAAAGGAAGCACATTAGTCCAAACCTGTACTGCAGCTATTACGATGACCCTTACGTGGTACCCAGCAGGTGTATTAGGTACAGGGTGACTTTTTAAGAATGACACTGTGGACATCAGTTTCCTACCTGAGAGAATGAAAAATAGGAAAGCTTACGCTAGTTCTCAGAGGAGCTGGGGAACGTTAAAAAATAATAAACACGTCTCAGCCCTTTTAGTCTACCCACTAGAGCTGTGATTTTTAACATGCAGCTAGGGGTTGGGGGTGATTTCATGGTGGCACTGTCCTCCTGAGAGCCTGCGACACACTGAAGTGCCCCAGAATTGGTCTTGGTGGCATTTCTAACAAATACATGGGTGACGCTGCTCTGGTAACCACCTTAACAACTGATGGGTGAATGACTCACAACTCAGTTGATTAAAAAACATTCTAGAAAGCTAGCAGTTTCCACTGAAACTGACTTTGTGGGTCTGACTTCGGAGGTGCACTGAGTTCACGCTTGCTTTCTGTCCCCAGGGACGCCGTCATATCGGTGAATGCAAACACTGGTGCGGTCACTGAGGAGTATCTCCCCGAGCAGCGCTCTCACCTCTACGGGATCACTGCCGTCTTCCCCTACTGCCCCACAGGTAAAGCCGGGTGCGGTACCCCAGCTGCCGCCGCCATGGCACCATTCCCTGTTCCTGCCCCTAGTGGGCGCTACTCTGAACTGGAAAAGTTAAGGCTGAGACACACACAGGGAGGCTGGTCTTTACTACCTTTGCAGTTTTCCAACTATAAACCAAATAACAAATCTGCTGTTGCAACTTGGTTACAAGATACTCACCCTTGGTCCCCCCACTTCCCTCACAGGAAGCAAGTAAATACTGCAACAGAGGAGGACTTGGCGTTTACAAACTGAATCCTGACCCTAATGAACATCTGCTGCAAAGAAAGTAAAAAAAGAATTGGCGGTTACAAGTTCCTGGACATACAAATGAACATTTTTAGTACAAAGACTAAGTATATTTTGTGAAGAGCTTATACCTCAATCTTTACTACTGTATTTTTAAGAACAAAGGTCGTTACTGCAAGTTAAAAAAGGTAACAGAATTGTTGCTTAGTAAAGCAGCTTTTTATAAACATTTATATAATATTTAAAAGGCCAAATTCACTTGACTAAGAACAAATTGGAGTTTATATCTGATTTCTGCTATACAGTCTTTCTGGCCAAGAAATTAAAAGCACATGTGATCAGAATAAAAATAGTATCATAAAGATCATAAACCTTGAACAGAGAGGTTATGCATATGGATGGGAAGGACTTAGTTTCCCAGCAAGTTATGGTTTCTTACCTCTGCATCCGTGCATTTCTATCAAAAGGTGCTACAACAATTCAATTAAGTGCCTCTATTGAAGCACCCCAAGAGAGTGCTGCATCTATAAATGCCAAAGATGTAATGTGTAACAGTTGGTTTTCTAGATTACTCCAATAAAGCATTCTAAATTTTCCTATGATTTAAGGATCTATATTAATAGTCTGTATGCATGTACCTTAAATGAAAAGGAACCGATTATAAAAAAAAAAAAAAATTCCACTTTCCCAAACTTTATTAAAGCAGTGAATTTCCTGGGATGCCTCCCGTGACAAACACATGCCAGAAGTGTACGTGGTTCCCAAGTAGTAAGAGGGGAGAAGCGGAACCCGAGTGTTCATCTCCCCACTTTCCCCAGTCTGTGGTCTGTCTTTGGGTCGGCGATGATCGCCTGCACAGCTACTATGGCTTCGTTAATTTTTGTCTGTAGCTCTCTCAGCTCTTCTATATGCAGCAACCGCAGAATCTGCGCAGCTTCGTTAAGAACTGCATCTGTTTCATAAGAAAAAACGTTGCATTAATGAGGCCTTCAAAAGCACCAAGATCCACTTTTCTTTCTCTACAGTTTCTGAAGTACCCTCATCGGTAACCTCTGCATTCTCCTTCAAGTAGTCACTACATCTCTATAGTCTAAATTAATTAATTAAAATCACTTACCTCCTGTGTCAAAACCAAGAATATGTTTGTCTAAAGCAACAGGCAAGCCCTTAAAAGGGGGGAAGGACAAAATGAGACTATGGTTAGAAACACTGTTTTCAGCTGAAACTGTGAAAAGCAGGGAACTCTTCTGCTGAAATCTGCTTTGTGATAACACTACACCTACTATAACCGCTTAGGAAAGAGCCTTTGCCCATTTAGCTAACCAGTCAGCCCCTGCACAGAGACATACACAAGAGGGTGTCTATCACATGAAGCTGGACAATCTGCTGCTTACATGGTATAACAAAATACATAAGTATCTAGTCAGGCACCGCTGAACACCTTTCTCAGAACCTACCCTGTTACTAGGTGATCTTGTCATGGTGGAAAACACTCCAGTGTACTTACACAAACCCAGACGGCTACGTCACAGGGTGATACAATCTTAGGGGACACCCACATATGAGCTGTTACTACTTTATTCCTGCCTAATCTATTAATGTAAATCTACCTTGGTTCCATCTGCTTTCAAGTAGCTAGTAAGTTACACAAGCTAGGACACCAAAGGGTGTGACAGCAAAACTGAGGGGTGGAATTGTGCTGAGCAGCCTTCTGTGTCAGTCATCCCCACGGTCTGCCAGAGACCACCACGCAATAGCCACCTCTCAAAATGTGCACATGCCCCAAATACCAGCTATGCAGTCACAAACAGCAACAGTATACTGTGAGAACTTCTCGACCGTATTATTACAGGCTGTTGTCTTTAAAATTAAGACTTGGAACATTAAAGGAAACTCAATTTTACTACACAAACGAGCAAAGATTTTCAGCTATGCTCTTGCTTGCACTGCCTTCCACACCACAGACTTTGTTTTGCTGAATGAATGACTTTTTTCAATTAGAACAATATACTGTCTGTTCTATACAGTGGATGAAATAAGCTGATCTTTAACCCATTTGCAGTAGCCCAATTCATGCATAATTCTAAAAGAGAAGAAACTGTATTTCAGTTTCAGGGGATGGCACGGCCCTGACATTAGGAACCTCTCACACTGCTGGGCCCTGCTAAGGGGGGTCAGAGGAAAGATGACAAAAGAGGGACCAAATCCCAGAATGGTGGCTGTGCCAAGGCATTCGCTCTACGTTCTGTGGAGCAGGGAGCGGGGCATGATCAGACAGACACCTGCTGCCACAAACCCTTTCAACACTCTCAGTGCTGTCTCACAGCCAATGAGACGAGCAATTTGAAAGTATGTGAAGAAGTTTATAGGAAAATGGAATTAAGTTTATTTAGATGCAAACTTTTTCAAAACCTTTTTGAAAATCCCTTCTACTTGGATTTTCTGATACAGTTAAATCTAAAAATATCCCAGAAATACTTTTTTTTATCCTTCAGGGAAGTTATCTTGGGGCAGACTTTTCCCAGTGCGTCCATTCTCCACAGCCTCCCCTTTCAGTGGGCAGACGAGCAGGCTCACACAGGCCTCCACGTGGACCACTGCTCCTCAGTCACCATCCAGGCTCTGGACGCACGTGGCCCGAGCTCAACCTCGATCTACGAGGTGGCTTTAGCCGAGTTACTTTCTCGTCATGTCTCATGCCAGATAATGGATCAGAACAATTTATTCTGAAGGAAAAAAATACCAGGGATGGGATTTAGAAAGAAAAAGATGAAAAATAGTAGCAAAGAAAAGCCGTGTCCTTCGTTTTCCAGCAGGAATCATAATCATCTAATTTCACAAGGGTAAAACCGTCTCAAATCACCTTCAACTGGGCAAATGCGCTGGTTGGTAGACGGTCACTGGTAGGTGCCTGAAGTAAGATAAACACACTGATTTTTTTTTTTTTCACTCAAAAGTGGTGCCCAGAAACTAGACACGTTCAGTTTGCCTCAGAACCAAACCACTGAAGCAAGCTATCCTTTGTCAGGGCCGACCTACAGAGAACTGACATCTGTCTTCACACAAAATGTAGTTTGTGGCAAGAAGAAACAGTCATTAATAACTTACAGATTTAATAAAAGCGTACATACCTCTTTTGTTTGATTTGCTTTAGCAACTGCATCCTGTGTCAGGCGCTCCTGAACCAAAATGCGAATTGCCTAAGAAACCCCAAAATAGTGTGCTTACTTTTGATAAACTGTTTACCGTATTTTCATACATAGTCTTATGACCTTTTACACATATTTGTGGTTGCAAATGTATTAAACACTGGTTGCTCCATAGTTAATATACTGATGTTTACAATGGACAAACCTACTAAGATGTTTTCCTTATTACCACGTATTGTTTGAAAGCCTCTTAAGGTAACGCAAGAGATAAACATGCAGCCAGAACTGGAATTTTATAAAACTTCCTGCTCTAGTTGATTCATACTTTTTCCCATCAGGTTTTCAGTCTAAAAACAACTCCACACTTGCTATATATATCTGTTGCTCCTCAGTTTGATGAATAAAGCTGCCAAGGTCACTGCAGAACTGTTCCAAGGCAATTTACATAATAAGGGAAGAACAAGACTTTGAAAAAGCTAAATTTCAATAAAAAACAACTTTTGTCTTGTGGCATCCAATCTGGGTTAAGAAAATCCAGATAACATTCAGATTCAGTGTAGAGAATTTTAATAATCTAGGAAATCAATCTTTCCCTTGTATAAACTTACATTTAATATTCACACTCCTAAAAAGTATGATACATTCTGGCTTAATCTTTTCTGAGTGAAATTTAATCGGTCATCTTAGTGAAAAAGTGCAAAGTTTAAAATACGTTACAGGCACAGAGCCCAAAGCTCTTCACTCCTGTAAAAGCAGTAACAACCCCCACTAAGTCTGGCATCCCAAGTCCACTACCCTGTTTCCTGCCACTGTTCCTGCGCCACCACAGGGAATAAATCTTCTGAAGTGTGAGCCTCTGGTTTCTCTGAGCCAACAGGGACCACTTTCGGAGTACTAGGCTCCCTCTACAGTGAAGGTATGGACTGTGTGGCCCATCCAGGATGCAGCACTCTCACAAGGCAGACACAGTCATCTCTCAGTTCATTCATTCTGGGGCCTATGGTTCTGACCAAATTCACCATTACTGATTCTGTATCTTCCACTCTCTTGGTGAATACATACTTTAAGTCCCTAAAAGGGAAAAGAATGAGCCCCAGGATGGATCTGAGTTTTTATGCTAAACCCTGGCTCTATCACTTTGTGTCACCTTAGACATCATTTATCATCCTTCAAGTCTCATTTCTTCACATGCATTATTTTTTGAATAAGGACAGTAGCCTCTGCCTCCACAACTGTTGAGAGGATGGACTGAGATCTTTGTAAGAAACTTAGCACGGTGACAGCAGAGTTAACACTCTGTGGTATTAGGTACTGGGCAATCTAGTGAGAACTGCTTGACGCCCTACATTCTTCCCCTGCAGTTTAGTCACTCAACCCTAGGTTTCAGTATCAACAGCTCATATTTAGAAGATGAAGAGATGTTTTCCATATACAGAGTTTCTGCCAAGAATCAAGAATATGAAACTGACCTTAAGCATTACCAGGTAATCGTCATGACGCTGAATCTGAAGCAGGTTAGCCAAAGCCATTACACCAGCCTTGAAATCAGGATTATTTACTATGAAAGATTAAAAATGAAAAAACAAAAAACACATTTCAGCTCCACAATCGTAATACTGACATATCTGTGAATATACACACTTATAAAAATGTTTAAAAATTTCCCCGTAACAATTCTCTTTAACTTTTAATAGTACTGAAAAAGAAAAAACTTAAGGCAGTTAAATATCAACAATTAGATTTATGAGCTAGTTTTTCCTATTTCATCATTTCATATTTCATCAGCCAAACTGACTAATTAAACTCCTATTAGGTTTGTTCTGAAACTTAGAAAAGGCCCACTCATGTAGCATTTTTAATTAACATTTCTTCCCAAGGCTATTAATTTTCACACACAGATCCCTTCAATGGGCAGTTTTCTCTAGGCAGTGGCCCTGGAGTGTCCAACAAGCTTCCTCATTTGTAAGCATAACTCATCAGTTATAGGTCACAAGGAAATCAGCCAGCAAAAAAGTATTTAACATAATTTAATCTAGGTAATTAGAACTGTCACACTTTTAAAAGGAGAAAGAATTACTGGAAGACACTTGAGAACGATGAAAAATGTTAGGACTTACGGTATCATTGGATTAAAAAATTTCTAGGGGCTGGTGCTGCGGTGCAGTGGGTAAAGCGGCTGCCTGCAGTGCCGGCATCCCATATGGGCGTCAGTTTGAGTCCTGGCTGCTCCTCTTCCTATCCAGCTCTCTGCTATGGCCTGGGAAAGCAGCAGATGGCCCAAATCCTTGGGGCCCTGCACCCACATGGGAGACCCAGTAGAAGCTCCTTGCTTCAGACTGGCCCAGCTCTGGCCGTTGCGGCCATTTGTGGAGTGAACCAGCAGACAGAAGATCGATCTCTCCCTGCTTCTGACTCTCTGTAACTGCCTTTCAGACAAATATTTTTTTAAATAA